TTACTAATTGGTCCCTAAAGTTTGAAATTGGTTCCTAATTTGTTTCTGAGTTGAGTTGATCGTTAGTTATCCTAACAGAGGAAATTAACATGAGTTCGTCAACTAACAGTCAACTCTACTAAGAGACCAACAAAAATCAATTTCAAACTACAGGGACTAATTGGAAATCAAACTCATATCTCAAGACTAAACATGCCAATTTTGAAATCTCAAGGACTAAATAACTAAATTCAAATCTCAACAAAAAAACATTTAGTTTTGAGAACTCTTGGCCAAATAGAAACTATGATAAAATCCGAGGGACCAAAAATGTATCTACCCAGATTGATCTATATGACCAAAAAAAATACATAATTTTGGTGGATTATTTTAATATGCAGCTTTTTCCAGGCATTTTCAATATAACAAAACAAAACATAATGGTCAAGCATTCCTCGGCATCAGGTTGGAGAGGAACAAAAATAACCAAAGATTACAGTACTTTCCCAACCATAAATTTTGAACACAACCAACACCAAAGTGAATAGTCCTTCAGACAAACCTTCAAGGGCAACTATAGAAAGAATGAGCAAGTCTAAGCAACAAATAGATTATTTATTTCCATCTGCTGGAAAGCTCTGAAAGGCACCATAGCATACCCCCAAGTGACCAAAATACACTTTTGGTCTCTAAAATTTGAACTTAATTTCTAATTGGTTGCAAAATTTCCGAAGCAAACACTTCGGTCCTTCAGAAACCAATTTCAAGCTTCATGGACTAATTAGAAATCAAATTCAAACCAAACCAAACCAAACATGTCACTTTTCAAACTTCAAGGACCAAATAGAAACTAAATTCAAATATCAAGTACAAAACAATGTCAAAGACCAAATAAACTAAGTTAAATTGAGGAACCAATAGTACATTCTCCTCTTGAATTAACATAGAATGAATACGATGAAATTAGAAGTACACAAAAAATATCCTTCATATATTATTACAGCAATAAAAATATGTAATATAGAGGTATACATTAATCTTACAGAAAGAAATACTTAGATGTAGTAAGTGACCACACCTCAATTTTGATTCCAGCATCCACTGCCTTTTGAAATAGCTTATCGACTCGTACCAGATCATTTGCTAGTTCCTCCTGCAGAAGCTATGTTAAGAAGCACTGCGGAAGCAAAAAGAAAGAGCCATGCCAAAACATTGTTGCCTAACAAAATGTATTTAATATTCACCCGATAAAGCAATGAGGCTTGCTCAACAGAATCGGCTTTTAATTCAAACCTTGTATGACTTCCATAGTCAATTACAGAAATGATCAACAAATTTTTTTTATGGATAGGCACAGGGGTAAATGGCACAACAGAGGCAGTCAAGTAATTTCTGCGCAAGAAACCAACAGCGCAGAAAACATTGAAAAATTCACCTTGTAAAATGATTCAACAGAATAATTAGGGTCAGCACCAAAGGTCACCGTGAAGTAGGAAAAACTGACTGAAAAGCTCTGCAACAAATATGCCAGATCGACAGTCCATATGCTGCCCAAAAAAAGTTGCAACCAGAAATTATCAGCTTCCACTTTATATACTAAAAAAAGTGAATTTTATAATGAAAGGGAGAAAAAAACTGATATATAAAAGTCGAGACATTTCAACTTGTTATCTCATTCACTTTCATTGTAGAAACCCATAAAAGTTCCTGTTTGCGTTACTAAGGAAGTAAAGACCTAAAGCAGTTAAGGAGATTAAGTGAATGGTCACCTTGAAATGATAGTTAACTGAAAGAGAGTTCAGGAAGTCAGAAAGGGAGGTAATTTTTGACCGGCTGGAGAGGGAGAGGGAGAAGTTATGAACGGCTGGAAATTAGACTTTGGAAGAGAGACAAAGTCTCTAGAAAGCTTGAAACTCGATAAACTTCTCTATATGTTCTCATTTGTGGTTTTCCAACTGCTAGTTTTATTGACTTAGATGTTGGGACATCAGTTCCAATGGGAATAGAAAAAAAAAAAAAAAATCAATCGATGATAGAAATCAGTTTATGAGAAAATGAATACAAGATTCAGCTTGTGTAGAGTGAGTGACAGCAAATTCCTCAACAAAAAGGAAAACTGACATGTTTTTTACAGTCATGGAGAAATGGCATCACGTACATAATGGACTCGGACAGATTTCAAGTTCCTCTTAGAATACATTGCCAATTTCAACTCCCTTCCACTTATGCATAAATATATTTATATGTCTAGAAAGAATAGCTCTGTAAGGAATGTTAGACATGCGTGATGAAAAAAGGATCATGTTTAAAAATAAAACACCTTGTTGTGCCGCATAGATCTGCTAGTGATTGAATATGGCAATCATGTATACCAAGAGTGTCCAGAATCATCAAAACACAAGCAAGGCCACAATCCCATTGTTGAAGCTGGTTTATATGTGTTACCTGGCAGGAGAACAAGAAACTCAACAAAGCAAAAAGAACAAGTTTACTGCCGCACATCAACACTTTGACTTTTTACTTTATGACAGAATCATCGCATAGATTATTGGCTTGGAGAATATATTAGGATACAAGAAACAAAATCAAACAAGCTTACTTCAATGAACTGGGAGCGTGGCAGAATTGGAGCATCACGTTTTATTTTACTTAGAAACTTGTCAAATGGGTACACTTCTACTAAACTCAAATCATCGCCACCCAATTCTCTTGGTTCCTCTAGCTTGAGAATCTTGTTGAAGAGAAGATAGAATGGCCACATGAGAGGCCAATTCAGCTGCAAGCAGTCACCGCTTTGAAGAGGGTTAGTCAACAGATTATATTTGTTATTCTACCAAATTCCAGAAACATGATTGCTACTACCTTAAGACAAAGAGGAAGTAAGATCCCGTGTCTGAATACTACTGAGGAATATTATCAAATGATATCAATTATAAAATATGCCAGGAGAAAGTTCATGTACATCAAAACTCGAGGACACGCTTCGTCAATCACATGTACAGTTCCAACAAAAGGTATAAACATTAAGTCTATAAGCTTGCGTCAGATAGCTCAATTTTATCAACACTCTGCATAAGATATGTTTTATCAATTTTGTTTTTCCATCTTTTAATCTGAAACTAAAATTTCTACTACCTCAAAAATCTAAACAAAAACAGGAAGACTTGCTCCATGAATTATTACAAACAAAAATATCAAATAATAAAGGCTATAAGTCAGGACAAAAGAAAGTCCAATCAATCGTTTATCTAACTCGAGCCCTCCCCAATCCACGACTTAGAGGTCAGAAATAGGACGATCTCTTCGTTTTGGATAATAAGAGTCAAAATAATAAAATAAAATTAAAAAACAATTAGCAGCAAAATTTCAGATTCCAAGAACAGATTACAAACAATCCATAAGTTTCAATCATCGAAAAACATTTATTCTTAGGGAAACAAACCGAGTGGTTGTTAGAATGGCTGAAAATAGGTAAGAGAGAGAGAGAAAGAGAGAGAAAGAGAGAGAAAATTTTGGCGATGGTTGCATTTATTTCGATCCTTGGTTAATGGCAACTAGGAAGAACGAAAATCGGAATAAGCACAAAAAAAACAGGTAAACGGAAGGAAAGTAAAATATTATTGAAGCACAAAGAAACAAACTGACAACTCTCTGGCTTAAAATATTACTAATAACAGAACAAGAACAAACCTGGCAGAATTAAATGCCGCAACGATAAACAAAAGCAAATCGGAATCCAATGAACCTTCTGAATTTCCGATCAGAACCAGAGAGCGATGAGCAGAAACCAGGCTGTAGTTACCTACTCCGGCTGAAATAGGAAAAGTATAAAGGCGCAGATCCTATTCTAGAAGGTTGATGAAGAAGGATATTATTACTGGCTCCGTATTTCGCGGGTTCTTAAAAATTTCTGGCGCATTCGGGTGGGTGTACCGCCTACCGCGTATTGTCAACGACATGTCGAAACCAGGTATAGCCCAGCCCATTAAAATTAACTTGTCTTGTTGCTAATTGTCGTTTTTGAGTGTGTGAATATGAAATTTTAAGCGCCCAATTATCCTCTAACTTTTCTCTAATTTCAGCCCCAATATTTTTTAAAATAAAATATAGAGAATAAATCAATATAATTCAATTCGAAATTTAGACACTAAATTATTGCTTCTATTAAAGTTAATGGACAAAAATAGTTACGGACAAAATTTATTTCGCATCTTAAAAGATCGGGAAGTAGTTAATCCACTACATTTCTTTTAATATTACTCAACATAGAACAAGCATTTTTGTTTTAAATACAATGCTGCAGAGTTGAAATATCATCCCTAGCCCAATAGAGTCAAGCCCAATAATTGTACGAGTCCATTGTATATTTATTTTATAATTTTCTCTGGTAAGCTGTTGAAATATCATCATTAGTCCAATAGAGTCAAGCTCAATAATTGTACGAGTCCATTGTATATTTATTTTGGTAGAGATTTTAGGATGAAAATCATCATTAGCCCACTAGCCCAATAATTGTACGAGCCCATTGTATATTTATTTTAGTAGAGATTTTAGGAAAGATAGCTAGAGTGTCTTATATTCTCTTCTCGATTGGTCTTAATAAAGAGTGCGAGTGTTTACCACAGAGAGTTATGTTCAAAAGAGTGCGAGTGTTTATCATAGAGAGTTATGTTCAACATGAGCTTGGTCTTAATAAAGAGTGCGAGTGTTTACCACAAAGAGTTATGTTGAACATGAGCTTGGTGTTAATAAAGAATGCGAGTATTTCTCACAGAGAGTTGTGTTCAACATAAACTTCCCCTCAAAATTTGAAAAGGGTAAGCTGGAAGAGGTTTCCACACCCTTACAGAAAAGAGAGTTGTGTTCAACATAAACTTCTCCTCAAAGTTTGAAAAGGGTAAGCTGGAAGAGGTTTCCACACCCTTACAGAAAATGTTGTGTTCCCTCTCCGACTGATATGGGATCTCACAAAGACCGTAACAATCAAATTATATAATTGCAATCTTGATGCAACACTAATATGAAACCAAACTAGCCATATCTTTTACTTCAACAAGAGAGGGAAAAATAGTCATTTCCCTCCTACCTTGACAAGTCCCAGAAATGTTCGCTAATGGTGCAACATATATTGCAACAAATTCAGAAGTTAAAGTAGCTCAATGTTACATTACAACAGAGAAATCAAGAATAATATGATAGATGTAAACTTTCACAGAGTTGAAGTTGGCATCTCATCATCCAGATACCAACTTTACAAAGATACACAGTGCATTGAGCATTATGAGAGGAACTCTTAAATATTGTGTTGCATAGACAAGGCCAATAAGCTGTCCCTTGAATGATTTTGTTCTGCCTCCTGAGAATTCAGAGAAGCTCAATCCTCGACGAGCAAGAAAGCGATCTTCATTTAGAATTGCTAGCGCGTTGGCAAGAAGCAGACAACCCTCTAGTAGCGTCCACAGACCCATTTTCCTGAGCTCTAACTTACTGGAAACACACTTCAGAGGGTTTTGAATCTAGGGACTCCTTTGTACTGATGACGTTATTATCAGCTGAATTTCGATTATACAGGATAAGAAATTGTGCAAAGAATGATGGAACCAAGGATAAAGAGGCATGAGAGTCTAGTGATAAGTCAAGCTTGCCTAAGAAGCTCATTCAATTGAAATAATCTTCAGATAGGGCATGAACAGAATAACAAACCCATTTTATTATAATGCAAAAACTTGGGAGTAATTAACATAGACATCTGATCTACAACAAAGTGGAAGAGAAAAAAACGTGCGCTAAACAAAAGACAAATAAGAAACAAACGATGCCTACAAAAGAACTTAGTAGAAAGGCACCAGCTACACTTCTAAATACTCATGCCAATTTGGTATCCGACTGAAACAATTTGATTAATGTTCTTCCTTCACCACATTAATGTTCATGTTGTTACTATACTTACTTGCCAGTAGATAATGGATGTTGAACTTTTTCTCCTTCCAAATTAAATTTGAAAATCAGTCCCCCCCCTGTTGGCTCCTATACTGTTATCAACGAACAATCTTTTGAAACAATGACTCGTGATAGAACTACAAGCTTATGATTTAATGCCTGGCAAAATTTATGAAATTCTTCACTTTCTACAAACTTAAATGGCAATTCATCCAATACGACCATATAAGCAAGCATGTTCTACAATTCTCTTGCGTGAACAATGTAGTTATCAATTTACACTTAGAATCTCCCTTTCTTTCAACATAATCCGTTGTCTTGTATACTTCTTACATTTATCTAAGTTCCTTTTCAAATTTGTTATCCCGTTGCTCTCAGAATCACATGCATATGAAGCTGAAGCTTGTTTAGAAGGTTTTCTTTTCTTTAAAAATCCTACTTTACAACTAGCACCTAGATTAGGATTGCCACTTTCAACTGAACGAAGAGTTTGACTAGAATAACTTTTAAAAGTCTCAGTTGTAAATGATGAACTCGTCCTGGGACAAAAAGCAAACCAACTCAAGAGTACTCAATTTGTAGAGTTCCTAGAGTAAAAGGCTACTGTAACTGGTTTTTTAAGAAAGAAAACACTTCTCTCTTAGGTGGGAGCCAGAACCTAAAACATTGTTGACAGAACTATATACGCAACTTTTGACTCACATGCATACACAGGTATGACATGTTCTTTAAATAGTTCATGTAATTAGATTAACAAAATAAAAACACTAGTTACAAGGATGACATTATTGAAATCATCAACAGAACAATAGGAACAACAACATGAAAATAGTCTTTCAACCTTCTGCCTTCTAATATGATGGTTTGGGGAGCTCGAAACAGAGACTTCGGAAGAGTATGTCATATGAACCAGAGAATAAACTTCGTGGGGATGGAATAGAATCTCCATTGGTTAACAAATGGTTACGTACTAGCAATAAGAACTAGAATACGAAGAGCAATCCAAGCAAACAAAACAAGTACAGCAAAACGTTGGGTGGTGACATTTACATATAAAGTAGCAAAATGGCATCTAATTTCTTCAAATAATTTACTCTTTAGCTGCTACCCAACTATCCAGATTAAGAAATTAGTAACATTAGTTTAACACAAACTAATGGCATCTAAGTTGTAAAAGAGAGAGAGAGAGAGAGAGAAATTAGACAGACAAAACAGCAAACTAGTAACAAAATCTCCAGAAATTCAAAGATATCTCTATATTCAAAACTTCGTGATGGTTGGGGACAATTTTTTCAAATACCATAACCTAATGCCCGTGATTAGTATGGTAATACTAGAATCTTCAACAGGTTAATATCAAAGTTTGTGACTAGTGTTAAAAACCACAACCTCCACAATAGTATGATAATTTCCACTCTGAGCATAAGCTCTCGTGGCTTTTCTTTTGGTTTCTCCAAAAGCCCTCCTACAATGTATTCCTTACTTATAAACTCATGATCATCCCCTTAATTAGGGAACGTGGACTCCCTCCCAACAATGCTCAATAATCCTCCCCTCGAACAAAGTACACCATAGAGTCTCCCCTGAGGTCTAGGTAACCCTCGAATAGTCTCCCCTGACTTCTTTGTTCGACACTTGAGGATTCGATTAGCATGGCTAAGTTGAGGGCATGGATCTAATACCATGTTAGAAACCACAACCTCCACAATGGTATGATATTGTTCACTTTGGGCATGCAAAAGCTCTCATGACTTTACTTTTGGTTCCCAGCTCATACCAATGTATTCCTTAATGATCATCCCCTTAATTGGCCAATATGTGACTCCCTCCCAACAAATCCTCAACAACTAGTCCAGATAAATTTGCATTTGCTTGATACTAAAACATCCCAGGAAACTGATCCAGAAAATGGTAATTGATACTAAAACATCGCAGGTAAACTGATCCAGAAAATTGTAAGCATCGTGGAGGAAAGTTTATGACAAAGTTCTCATTGGCTTGATACTAAACATGTGGAAAAAAATCAGATCCAGAAAAAATGGATGTTGTTGCACAATTAGCGACTTATAAGCAAGTTGTTTCAGAAGTACAGTATGCTCCATTGTTTCAAAAACAGTCCAAAAATAGTAAACACAAAGTTGAAAATACCAAACGAAAACGAAGAAGAGAATGGATTGATCCAAATTTCCGCTGTTTTAATTCCTCCTTTATTGATTAAAATGAAGCTGAGCTAATCGGTACTAGATTGGAATCGAATCGAAAGGGCATACCCATTATTCAAGAAACCACCGGTGACCAGAAAACTAACCTTAAAGTCGTCAGAGAGGGAGATCGGAAGGCGGGAAGACGAGCACAAGCAAAGAGATAAGGAGATCAAACGACAACAAGGCGAGAGTGAGATTGAACGGCGAACAAAGGCAAACCGAAGACAGCGAAAAAAAATTAGGGGGTAATGTAGAAGACGGCGCGCGAATGTAGAAGTTCAGGCGCCGGTTCGGGCAAAGACAACCATAGGACCGAGCCGAACTCGGTCTGACTCGAATTCATGTTGAACCCGAACCGTTTGATTCGGTTCCTCACCCCCTAACCTTTTCCCTTCTTTTAAATGTCGAATCTATGGCCGAGTTTTCACCCAATAAAAACTATATATATATAACTAAATATATAATTTATAAAAAAAAAAAAATTGAGACATTTAATCCATTTGAAAGCAGTAGGATAAATGTTGAGTTTATAGAATTAAGGTTTGAATGTTTCGCGATTTATTATTTTTTATTTATTTTATTTGTAACTTTATAAAAATAAAACTAAATTAAATGTGAATTTGAGTTAGAGTTATTTGTAGCCTTAAAAAGGGGAGAAGTTTATGTATTTTAGAAAGAACATTCTAAGCTCAAAGTTCAAAATTGAAATTTAATAAACAAAAAGTTTAAATGTAAAGGGAGGGAAAAAAAGGAAGTAAATTTCATCATGAAATTGGGATAAAGTCACCACACCCTTATATTTAATCACAAAAGTCGTGGATTTCAACACTTTGTATTTGTGGGACCCTCTCTAACGGCTACTTCAATAACGTGCGTCTCCGTCCATGGTGGTCTCTCTCTTGGATTTTGTATATAAAACCTTTCATCCTCGTTAATTTAATATCGGACGTCCAAACGAGCCGTTAGTATATGGATCCATGCTCTTTGTTTTTTTTTTTTTTTTAAATAATAATATTATTATTTATTTATGTGGTCCCGGCATAACTTCGTGTATTATAAAGTTTTTTCTTTTATTTAAAAAGTGCAAAAAAGTGAGTTTTTATTTTATTTACTTTAATTCTATTAGTTGAAATACTAATTATCCTGGTTAATAATAAAGAGATACAATATATATTTTATATATATACTATTTTTTTTATTGGATTATTACGCAATCACATTTAATATTAAAACGTATATTTATTATTTTGAAGCTAGAAGTTCAAATTTCGCTCTAATAGAAATAGGACCATTAGTATAAAAGGTGAAAGGCTATACTATAATTTGTTATAGAAATGCTTAAAAGTGTTGAGTTATAAACTTGACGGTGAAGTTTCAAGTAGAAATTAAAAAAATTTGAGAATCACTTTTTTACAACTTTATACCTCATCCAATGTTACAAAAAAAAGATAGTAATATATGTAACATGTAGTCACGTTTCAAAATAAACTTTTATTATTTTTGTTAAGGTTGAAAACCCTATAAATAAAACAATAATACCGTTTAGAGATTAAAAAAAAAACTTTTGAGAGAGGACAAAAGTAAAAGTAAAAAAAAAAAAATTCTGTGAGAGAAAAAAAAAACAGTGACATATTTACTGGGGAGAGACCAAAAAAAATTATATGAAGGAAAAGTTTAGAAAGGATAAATAAAAAAAAAATAAAACTATATATATTTATTGATTTTGTAATTTTCTTGTAATTTCTAAAACATTTTTAAAAAATAAATGTTAATAAATAATTTGTTTCTTGGAGCAATTGGCTCAGATATTATTATTTAAATTCAGAACTCGTTCAAATGAAAATATAGAAATTCACCTATATTTTGAAATTTTAAAAATTGATGACAAATAAAATGGGGTGAAAAAGAATCGTACTTTGAATTTGATTGAGAGAGGGGCAGCTGAAACCGGATTCAAAATTCATGACATCACCGTTAGATTGCAGCCAATTTTCTATTTTTTTAATGTTTTTTTTTTTTAAACGTTGGCCTGTCCTGTTCTGTCGCACTTCCGCAGTAACCTTTAAGGAGAGAAACAGAGAGAGAGAGAGAGAAATTTGAATCCTTCCGCCATGTTTGAACCAGGTGAACCATTCAAGCTTCTTTAAACCCACTGTGCTCGCTCTTTTCCTTCCCTTTTGGGGTCTCGAAATTGCTCTTCTTTTCCCAAAATGGAACCTGCTTCGGTCACAAGAAGCGAAAATACTCACAAAGTCGGTGAATCTTTTGGTTCCAATGTTGTTGGAACCGAGTCGTTTACTGACTCAAGTGCTGTGTCTGGGGAGAACAGCTCAAGCAGGTCGAGCTCCGACAATTCCGCCGGCGACTTGAAGACCACCGACTGTTCTTCACCGCCTCAACTCGGCTGGCCCATCCGCAAGGCTCAGCTTCGCAGAAGTTCAAATTCCAAAGCTCGTGAAGTTGAACAAAACCCCAATTCCAACGATTCAAAGCTCAACAAAACGGTTCCTGAAGTTCCTGAAGTACCTGAAGTCTCAGGTTAGTTTGATTTCATTCTCTGTTTAAAACCCATTTTGATTTTGGGGAGCTGATGAACTTTTTGATGAACAGAGATGGAGATGATGAAGGAGAGATTTGCAAAACTGTTGCTTGGAGAAGACATGTCAGGCTCCGGTAAAGGGGTTTCCACTGCTTTGGCCATTTCAAACTCCATTACCAATCTCTGTGGTAAGCTTTTATCTATGAAACTTCCTTTCTTTGCTGCTTCAATGGCTATTTACTCTGTTTTGTTCATCTTGAAGCTACCATTTTTGGGCAACTATGGAGACTCGAACCCTTGCCAAAGGAGAAGAAATCAGTGTGGAGAAGAGAAATAGAGTGGCTTCTTTCTGTGAGTGACCATATAGTTGAATTAATCCCCTCTTTCCAAACATTCCCTGATGGAAGCAAGCTGGAGGTTATGACTTCCAGGCCAAGATCTGATATCTTCATCAACCTTCCAGCTCTCAGAAAATTGGACAACATGCTGCTTGTAAGATTACCCTTGTTTTTGTTGCTCATTACACTGTTCAATTCATGATATTCTAGGCCTTGTTTATAGGAAATTCTAGAGAGCTTCGTCGATACCGAGTTTTGGTATGTCGATCAAGGCATCATCGCTTCCGACAGCGATGGATCGTCGTCTTTTCAGAAAATAGTTCAGAGGCAACAGGAAAAGTGGTGGCTACCGGTGCCTCGAGTCCCGCCCGGCGGTCTTAGTGAAGATTCAAGAAAGCAATTGCATCATACTAGAGACTGCACAAACCAGATATTGAAGGCTGCAATGGCTATCAATAATGTTGCCTTGGCTGACATGGAGGTGCCTGAATCATACTTGGAGACACTTCCTAAGGTTTGGATAGCAGTGTTTTTAAATTTTTGTGTAAAACATAATGCCTTGAAGAACTGCTTGATTTTTGAAACTTTGCTGCAGAATGGGAGAGCTTGTTTAGGGGATGTTATATACCGGTACATTACCTCGGAGCGTTTTTCGTCTGAGAATTTGCTCGATTGCCTCGACTTATCCTCCGAACATGTTGCTCTAGATGTTGCCAATCGTGTCGAGGCTGCGATCTATGTCTGGCGGCGTCGAGCTCATTCGAAACCATTGATCAATCCAGCTCGTTCTACTGCAAGATCATCTTGGGAGATGGTGAAGGATCTAATGATTGATGGTGACAAGAGAGAGTTCTTAGCTAAAAGAGCTGAGGGCCTCTTGAATTCATTGAAGCAACGGTTTCCTACACTAACACAAACCACTTTAGACACTAGCAAGATCCAATTCAACAAGGTACCAATTGTCATTCTTCCACTTTGTTGTTGTTATCATTCGTTTCATATTCATATCATGTAATGCACATTTCAGGATGTTGGAAAGTCCATTCTTGAGAGCTACTCAAGAGTGCTAGAGAGTTTTGCATTCAACATCATTGCTCGAATCGACGACTTGCTTCACGTCGACGACTTAACTAAGCATTCGGATAGGTTGACATCGGTCGGGACGGTTAATGTAGTTGGTCATAAGAAGGGCGCTTACTCGGTGCATCTCTCGAGCACTCCATATAAACTCACATCCACAACTCCATTGGTTAGTCCTGCCAAAACGGAGAGAGTGCCATTTCTGAACAACAAGAACATAAGCAAGCCTCCTCGGCGCGGGTTCGGAGTGAAACGAGTGTTGACAAATTATCTTGGCGTCGATACGAAAGCAAAAACGTGCATAGATTCGATTGAAGGGGCTGCTTCAATTCATAACATTGTTGTGAATGGCAGTTCAGAGCGGAGAAACAGTTCTTCTGCAGATCAAAGTGTGGTGAGCTGCAGCAAATTGCTGGCTGACAAGATCAAATAGTCAATGGAGGAGGATAAAGAGGAAGAACAATAGTATACAGAAATAGAGTAGAATCAATTTGTTGTAAAAACTCTTTTCTGTGAGAAATTATTTGTATTTATTTGATGATGCTTGAGTTCTGCTTTTTTAGAACCTAAAGCTGTTTTTTTCTAGAATTGCTTGTATTGTTGTATTGTGCTATATTGTTCTTGAGCAACTTTTTATTTATTTTATTTATTTTGTTTTTTTCGCTCACAAAAATTATCCCTTCCCACACCGAAGCCTCACTCGTCTAGTAGATATGTTGAACACAACTTTTTTATGAGGAATATTTGCCGTTTTTAATTTAGTTAATATCTTAATTTTTTCTTGTAAATATTTAAAGATTCAATAAGCACACCATTAAAAATCAAAATACACTAAACATTTTTCAACTTTTGAATGATACATTAAACACAGATTTAATTTTTTAAAACTATGCCTATGAGTTTATTTGTTTATAGTATCCATTATTTAAACAAAATTTTGAATTATAAACCAAAATTTAATAAATAAAAATAATTAGTTTTGTTATCTAAAATTCGGGGAAGAATTTCAATATTTACTTCAAAAAAAAAAATTCAAGAAAGAAACATTATTTTCAAAACATTTATACATATTTTTAAAAGTCGTTGTAGTATAGTGGTAAGTATTCCCGCCTGTCACGCGGGTGACCCGGGTTCGATCCCCGGCAACGGCGAATATTTTTTACCATTTTTCAATACGACTTGTCGTCCAACGTCCTATACCGTGAAGGCGAAGTCTGTACTGCTCTCTTTATTATTTGTCTTGTTTTCCGCTTCAAACGTCAAGTCGTTGTAGTATAGTGGTAAGTATTCCCGCCTGTCACGCGGGTGACCCGGGTTCGATCCCCGGCAACGGCGAGTATTTTTTTACAGTTTTTCAAAACGACTTGTCGTCCCACGTAGTCTG